GGTTTCCCACGGTGTCTCTTCGTCTGCTTGGATATGGTTCAAGATGCTTCTCTTGACTCTACACACAAGAGCCGCCTTAAGGGCCTCCGCGTCACCGTCATTGACGAGGTTTTCTTCTAACTTGGCATGTATTGTCGCAATAAGTCTACCTCCACCTTTTAGAAAGTGATTTAACTCACCCGTTTCTCCAGTGAAGCGCTCGAGATCAGCCTTCCTCAGGTCCTGTGACGTGGCTACCCTGATCTTCATCCACTCTATTGCATTCACATGCGCCGCGGCTAAAGTTCCCTGTGGTGATGGGGGGATCTCCGGTACGTTCATACGGGCCGGCTGTCTCAGGTCAAACTCAGGCATCCTCGTAAATTTTTTCCTGATCGAAAAAAAACGTACCTCCGCGCTCTGAAAGTCCCGGGTTTCGGCACCAGTTAAGCGTAACGGACTTGAAACACTTTAAAAAAAAGTAAAAGGTTCAAGGAATAAAACGCATGAAGTCGAAATCAAGACTGGTTTATTGTTCCTTCTAATCCTCTCTATATACATTATCAGCTTGTTTACTTCGGTACATTTGGTATTAAGGCTGATACTGTGTCGCTCCGTACCTTAACTTATATATATATATATATATATATATATATATATATATATATATATATATATATATATATATATATGCTGTATCCTATCTCCCTGTTACCCAATATGGGCAAAATACCGGAAAAACTCATTCTAAAAAACCTGTACCCCATCCTAGATTATTATTACATAACCCCAGATCACCAATTTGGACTTCGCAGATCCCATTCCACCACCCTTCAGCAATGCCATCGGGTGGAGGATATTGTCTCCTCTGCATCGGTGCGCGGAATGTTCTTTATGGGAGTCTTTCTTGCAGTAGAACAGGCTTTTGATGGAGTCTGGCACCCGGGACTGCTTTTAAAAACTCCGTAAGTTTCTAAAACCTTCATACTAGTATAATATAAGTTTCTAAAACTTCCTCTTTGTCCTTTCCTACATGACTGATAAATATTTCAAAGTAAATCACAATAATGCTTATTCATCCAACTTTTCCCAGTTCGCTGGTGTTCCTCAAGGAAGTATCCTAGATCCTATCATTTACACTGTTTATATAGCAGACCCAACTCATCCTAACACTGTCATCACTACATATGCGCATGACACATGTGTCTTATCAGTTAGTAATGACCCAACAATTGCTTCCTAAACTCTTCAATCACAGATCACAAATCTAGAAAAATGGTCTCAAAACTAGAGAATTAAAATAAATCACCTCATATTACCTTTACCCTTCGTCGTAAACCTATGACTTCCTGTCATCAGGAACAGTATCCTTCACTTGGACAAACATCAAACTTGGAATCCATATGCCAGATGGAAACTGCTCTACGTTCCCTACAAATACTCTAGGATTCCAGTTAATTATAAAAGAATCATATACATGTCCACAATAAGACCTATTTGGACTTGGATTTGACTTTCCAATCTGGCCCAATCCAGATACCTACCCGTCCATAATAAACTTCAGAATCATCCGAATTCTCTCGTTTCTAATCTTGCTTCCTCTTAGGTTCCTTATAATTCTCCGAGCCGTCTGAAAAAGAAAAATATGATCTTTAGATCTTCTATTGTAAATGCATTTTTAGAATGCTAGGAGTGGGTAGTTTCTCAACAAGTGTTTTCATGTTATTATATTTCTGTGATCACATTTACTGAATGTATTTTTAATACACTTGCTATTATTATCTTTCTGTATTGTTTATTGTAAATTGAGTGTGAATGTGTTCTGTGAACACTATTATAAATGTCCTTTATTGTGACAGATTGTAATAATTCTCAATAAATAAGTTCTTTTTTTTTTTTTTAAATATTCTTTATTGAGATATATTACAATCTGTCACATTCAAGGACAATAGTAATAGTGATATAGAGTAGCTCATTCATACTATGCACAATAAATAAAAATAATAAACAGCAATATAATAATACTAAAGCAAATGTATATAAACTAAAAGATACTAAACTAGACAAAAATAAACTAATTTAACAAAATAAATACTTAAATACACACATGCTTTTATACAATATTTACAATATTCAGTCATTCAAGATCTCCGAGCCAAGCCTTTCCCCACACACGTGGAGGGAAAGGCAGGACTCTAGGAGATCCCAGCGTATTTCACTCAGCTGCATCAATGGTATTACCAATGGAGACTGAGCAGAGACACTATAACCAGACATACATGTCTTGATTGGAGAATCTGGCCATTGTCAGAACTCCAATATATTCTTACTACAATTCTCTGGACCACTGTCGCTTCAACCTTCGAGGAGGATTTTAGGAGATGAGTAGTGCTAGAGAGGGATTGTGCAATTGGATTTGGATGATATGTAAGGTTTTGATGGAATTTGGAAAATTGTTGAGGGATAAGGTGTAGGACAAATGGGATATTAAGGTCATGGTGTAGGGTTTGGTTGGTTACATAGAACGGAGCATCAACTATTGTTCGAAGGACTTTGGACTGAAAGGATTGAATGCGTTTGATGTTAGAAAATTTTGCTGTTCCCCACAGTTCCAGTCCGTAGGTCCAAATAGGATTCAGTATTGTCTTGTAGATCAGTAATTTGTTGTCAATTGAAAGTTGAGATTTTCTGTTCACTAGTTGCTTAATCCTCATATAATAATATATCTTAGCTGGCCATATCGTCGGTTGAGTTCTTGTCTTTTGAATCTTGTATGTGGGTCCCATGTCAGTCTTCGGTCTAAGAGAAAGCCAAGATACCGGACTGTGACTGAGTAAGGAAGCTGGGTGGAATTAAAGTGTACTGGTGGACAGGAATTGCGTCGGAGAGTAAAGGTAATATGTTTGCCTTTCGACTCATTCACTTTACTGCGCCATTCATCAAACCAGTGCTCAATAAGGGAGAGGTGCCTTTTTAGATTTAACGATGCTATTTCAGGATCTCAGTTGGATGATGGAATAAGTTATAAAAAAAAAAAAAAAAAAAAATACATTTGTAAATAATATTTTTTAAAAAAAGTTTATTTAGTTTATAATATTTAAACAGTTTTGTTTTCTTACCTTCTTCCATCACTCAGAAAGCTTCACTACTATACTCTGTTTCCGAAATTTTTTGGACTTACTTGCAAAATATATTCCGAGGTCGTTTTTATTTCGTTTTTGGATTTGTGAAATTTATCACGGAGAGTGCGGAAGATGAGGTAGGTACCTATTAAACTGTAAGACTTCATCTGAAAAAAGTTCTTTTGTGCATTTGGTGGTACTGGAAAGGTGTAAAGTACTACGAGTTCATTCCACAAGATGAAATGATCAATCCTACAAAATATTGCAACTCGATAAATTGCAAGTCGGCATAGCCGAAAAACGGCCAGAATTGCTAACCGTGGAGGTGTCGTTTTTAATCGCGAAAACGCATGACCGCATGTTGCGTTGTTCGTACGATAGAAACTCTTAGAGTTTGATGGGGATGCTATACCTCTTCCCCCGTAATCCCCATTCGATTATTACTTTTTCATTTCGTTAAACAATTCTCTTCTTGATAAGTGTCACAAATCCGAAAGATAAATAAAAGCGCACCTCGAAGAATATTTTGTATGTAAGTTTTAACAATTTTGAAAAGAGGACATAATGAGGCTTCCTGAGTGATGGAAGAAGTTAATAGAGCAGAACGGTTCATATATTACACAGTAAATCAACCTTCAACAACAAATATCGTCTAATGATTTCCCATAAAAAAAGTAAGAAACTAATGTGACACCCTAATATAAATTGTAGGATAATGCAATAAAATGTGGTTAGTAAGGGCTTCATAATATATTTTAGTGACTTGCACTTATTATGTGATATAATTAAATTTTATGGTTAAGATATTAACCACATTGATTTTTAAAAATATAACAAATAGTAATATAGAAAATCGTTACACAAATTTGTAGACATTAATTTAAACTATATACAATTACTATTTTTCACATGTTTTATGTGTTTATTTACGAAAAGAATTTTATGTGGTTTATACATTCATATTTCACTAAAAATGGTTTAACATTCTATTATATTACAGCACAAAAAAACAGTGGAAAAAGATGTGTTGTTGATTGTGTTAGTGCAATTGATATTGCATTGTTACAATTACTAATCAAAGCAAGCATAAAATTAGTGTAGATATAATTAAAAACATTTTTTTTCAATGCAGTGGAGGCCTATGGTCCTCTTACTGAATAGAGATTAAAAAAAAAAAATAAAGGATTTCATTTCCTTGAAAATAATTTTTTATTGTTGTATTTTTAATTCTTAAGATGGCAAAAAAAAATGTATGGAAATAATTTTTTTATATTTATTGTTTTCAAGTTCGGTTACGTCGTTTTGTCGGCGAGCCTACAGGGATACAATGCCAAATTAAGGGTTAATATTAAATAAGTCAAAATACTAAAGTAGAAGTCGTAGTCAGACTACTTTTGATAATTTAATAATATTTCATAGGATGATGACAGAAATGTTTAGTTCCTTTTATTTTCTAAAATTTTAAAATAAGTTATAAATTTTATGTGAATAGATTTTATTACATACAATCAATCAGAAGTCAATTACACAGATTTTTATTACTGAAAATATATTAAAATTGGATCAGAGGATCTCATATATTGAGTGCTGTCTGTATTGCAGTAGATGGCGACAGTAATAGTTCATTTAGTGAACTACAACTTTCTCCAGCTACTGTAACTGTACTAGATCTAGTACCCACCATGTGTGTTACTTTAGATAGCGCTGAAACCGGAGTGAACAAATGAACTAATTCAATAAGGTGAACTGAACTAAATAGACTAGTTCCTTAAATAGAACAATTTTGTCCATCGCTATGTGAAATGAATTTATAAGAATATATTTTTAATTTACAAGATTTTTTTTTTAAAGTATTAAATCTACTCTATATGCAGTTAAAATATGTTCATCTTATTGCAGATTCTACTGTTGTCCCTCTTCCAGCAAGATGCATTCCCGAACCTAAAGTAGTGTCTCTCAGAACAGGAGAGGATTTATCATTGCAGTACTTTCCTAGCTGTACTAGAGTAGACCGTTGCGGAGGATGTTGCACTTTAGAAGAATTTTTTTCATGCCAACCAACAGAAATAGAAATTTTAAATATGCGGGTAATAGTATTCTGATTATTTAAGCATGCTTATTAGAAATATCATAATGTATATGTAAATTTTATTCAGTTTCTAGATACAAATAAATTGTTCCATCGTAAGAATAGGTGATTCAATTTTATAATAATCGCTGAAACTGTAAGAACTTACTTTAAAATGAGCAATTATCCGATTATGAATTTTTTTTTTGTAAGGTGAAAAAATGAATAAGGATAATAGCTGGTTGGGATTTGTTAAAAAAATTTTGATAGAAAATAATTGGCTTGTTCAATTCAGTTCATCAAAATGGAATTCAAAACTTGAAAAAAGAAAAAACACCTGATTTAAATTATGGATATGTGGCCTTTTTCAATGTTTTATATATATATATATATATATATATTATATATATATATATATATATATATATATATATATATATATATACTGATACTTATCTTACTTACTTACGTATGATACTTATCTTACTAAGGATTTATATTTAACAGTAGATAACAGATTTTTTGAATTTAATACTGGTGGATTAATGAAACCCTTTCTTTTCGCCACTTTATTTTTAACCAAATGTAAATTATTTGTAAACTCTTCGAGGGCATGCCTCATCTTCATGACCTCATTCACTATTGAAAATATACATCTCCCTATTTCCGCTTGACACTCATTCTTTATGCAATTTAAGAACATTATAATGATAATTTTTAAAAATCAATGTTGTTTAATACACAAATATTAAGAAAGGAACACATTAGTACCTATTCGCTTTTCGCTTTCGAAACTCAAAACGTTGAAAAACAATTAACACTTGTTTAAAAATAAATTTATAAAAGGAAAGAGTTTCATTGTCCTACAACTTTTAAAATAACTAAAAGTTCTTTCTGCAAGTAAAGAACCAGAAAATGGTTTTCTAAATGATATAGTAGAATGGTATTTCTTAAAATATGTTTAGATTGACAACTAAACAACTCATTTTATTTATATCCTGTTTGTTACAGTAAATATGTATACAATACAATATACAATGTACATACAATAGAATATGACACTGGGTCATTCCAAGCCAAATCATCTATGGTCGAAACCCAATGAATGATTTTAATGAAAATATTAAGAAAATGCACAAATAAATAAAAAATTGAAATTTTACAATATTTTAAAGCATAGTAGAATTAATGTAATTTAAACGTTTGAGATATTTAAAATTGGGAAAACATTTTGAGTTGAATATCAACATGTATCTGGTTTTCCTTTGTAAAACTAACATTTATTGAATTTTTTTATATTTTTTTTTTATTTATTTTTTATTGAAAAATATTACAATCTGTCTCAAGGACATTTATAATAGTGTTCACAGATCACATTCACACTCTATGTACAGTAAATAAAATAAATTATGCAGAAAAATAACATATATACAATAAATAAGAATGAAATAACCTAAAAATAAATAAATAAAAAGATCACATACATATCTATATACAATATTTACAATTTGGTGAGGGAACTCCAAACCAGACTTGTCTCACCAAGTGTGGAGGGAAAAGTATGGCTCCAGGAGATCCCAGCACTTCTCTCTCAACCGCGTCACTGGGGCTAAACCCAGTGGAGATTGAGCAAGAGTGCTTAAGGCCAGATACACTCATGTCGTGAGTGGAGAATCTGGCCATTGCCAGAACTCCAATATTTACAAACTATAAAAGGTCGCGGGGCCACTGCCGTTTTAACCTCCTTGGAGGATTATATGGATGGGTGGTGCTGGATAGAAATTGTGCAAAGGGATTTGGATGATGGGTAAGGTTCTGGTGGAATTTGGAGAATTTTGATGGGATAAGGTCTAGGACAAATGGGATATTAAGGTCATGGTGTAGGGTTTTGTTGGTTACATAGAAAGGAGCATCGACTATTGTTCGAAGGACTTGGGATTGAAAGCATTGGATGCGTTTGATGTTAGAAAATTTTGCTGTTCCCCACAGTTCAAGTCCGTAAGTCCAGATAGGTTTCAATATTGTCTTGTAGATCAGTAACTTGTTTTCAATGGAAAGTTTAGATTTCCTGTTTAGTAGCCGGTATAGTTGGCCATATCGTCGGTTTAGTTCCTGTCTTTTAAGTCTAGTATGAGGGTTCCACGTTAGTCGTCTGTCTAAGAGAAAGCCAAGGTACCGGACTGTGTCTGAGAAAGGAAGCTGGATGGAATTGAAGTGTACTGGTGGACAGGAACTGCGTCGGAGCGTGAATGTGATGTGTTGGCATTTGGGTTCGTTTACTTTATTACGCCATTTATTACACCAGTGCTCAATCAGGGAGAGGTGTCTTTGAAGGTTTGAGGATGCTATATCAGGATCTGAGTCGGATGATAGAATGGCGGTGTCATCAGCAAAAGTTGCCAGGAACGTATCGGGATGGACAGGGATATCGGCGGTAAAGAGGATGTAAAGGACGGGACCCCATACGCTACCTTGAGGAACACCTGCCTCAATTGGATAGCAATGCAAAAATTCAGTACCGCAACGAACTCGGAAGGTACGATCTGAGAGATAGGAACGGAGAACAAGGTACAAGGACTGAGGAAGATAGTTTTTCAGCTTGGAAAGAAGCCCGGCGTGCCATACCCGGTCGAAAGTTTGAGCTATGTCCAGAAATGCACCCGAGCAATATTGCTTGCTTTCCAATGCTGCGGAAATATGATCAACCACTCGGAGTCCTTGTTGGACTGTAGAGTGTTGTGAACGAAATCCGAACTGATGGGAAGGAAGATTTTGGGATTCTATAAAGGGTAGGATGCGTTTCAGGAGGATCTTTTGAAAGATTTTTGTGAGAATCGGAAGAAGGCTAATTGGTCTGTAGGACGTTGAGGTGTTGGGAGGTTTGCCTGGTTTCGGAAACAGGATAATAGTGGAATGTTTCCACAAAAGAGGAAAGTGGGTGGTTCGTAGGATGCTATTGTGTATGTATGTAAGGAATATGACAGCTTTAGGAGGGAGTTGTCTAAGGATCTGAGAGGTAAGGAGGTCGTATCCAGATGATTTGCGGGTAGGTAGTTTTTGTAAGAGGAATTTGACAACAGAAGGATTAACTGCTTTAGGCGGTAAGGAGAGTGGGATGGGTGAATTAAGGAATTCCTCTACTGCTGACGTGTGGGTGGGATTGGATTCTGGATGAGAGGTGAATGTAAGGGAAAGGTGTTTGGCGAATTCTTCGGCTCTATATTCGTCAGACGCTACCCAAAAGCCATCACCTCGACGGAGAGGATGTGATATATGATGGGGTTTTAGGATATGTTTGGTGGTCTTCCATAGAGAATTGTCATGAGAAGAGAGGGGACTAAGGTAGGAGTTGAAGGATTGGGATCTGAAAGTAGCCAATTCTATCTTTAGTTTTTTGCAAAAATAATTATAGGATTGACGATCGGTGGGGTGTCTAGTACGTTGCCATAATAATCTGGCACGGCGTTTGGTATGGATTAGGTCTATGAGGTGTTCAGGTAACTTATTTTTCTTAGGAGTTCTTGAGGAGTGGTTTGGAGAGGAAGCAGTCCAGATTGCTTGTTGGATAGTGGTGGTAAAAGAGTGTACGGTATTGTCAAGGTCATCTGGGGTTTTCAGGGTCATTCTGAGGTCAATTTTATCGGAAAGGATTTGGTGAAAGAGTTTCCAGTTAACTGGGCCTCTTATGAAGGACGGTGGAGAAGACTTAGGAGTAGGAGCTAGAGATAATTGGATTAATAATGGACTATGATCTGAGGATAGTTCGGCAAGAGGGGTAAGGGAATGATTGAGGGGACGCAAGCCACTGTGGATGAAAAAATCAAGGATATCGGGATTGCGGTTAGGATCTGTGGGCCAGTAGGTAGGTGAGTTGGGTGGAAGGAGACTGAAACGTTGGGTATTGAGTACAGACAGAAATGTTTTGCCACGAGAATTCGTGGTTCTTGAACCCCAAACTTGATGCTTGGCATTTAAGTCTGCACCCAGGATGAAATGATGACCTAAGGAGTTGAGGAGAGAACTGAACTGGACTTTGGATATGGATCTGTTAGGAGGGCAATATGCTGATGCAAGGGTGATTTGAAAGGAGAAGGTTTTGATTACAATAGCGGTTTACTGTAGGAAATCTTGACTAAGTGATGGGAGTAAGTGATGGGAGAGGCATTGGTATACGATGACAGCAGTACCGGCATGTGCTCTGCCGTCAGGATGGGCAGTACGGTATGTTAAATACTGTGGGATTTTTAAATGCTGTTTTATGGTCAGTCGAGTTTCTGTAATTAGGGCTACGTCAATGTTCTTGTCTTGTAGTAAAGCTGTTAGTTCGTCTACGTGATTTCTAACACCATTCGCATTCTAAAGGAGAATGGACATGGGTTTTGGGGTGTGGGTCATTAACGATTTTTTAAAGGAGGGATGAGGTGAGATACGAGATTTGTAAGGAGTGATATGAGTGGAGTAACTAGGGATTTGAAATCGGTGAGGAAAGATGCTAACAAACTAGTGAGATCTGTTGCATTTGAAGGAGGAGGAATATGAGGAATTTGAGGTTGTTGATGATTATGTGTGTTAGGATGAACAGAATATTGAGATTGGGGCTGAGGTAGTTGCTGCGGCAGGGCTTCATATGTATTATTGGGGTTCTTACCTCCAAGTAGTTCGGAGTATGATAAATTATTGTTAACAATTCTAGAAGGTTCTCTTCTTGGTCTGGTTGTCTCATTTTGAATCCGATTCTTCTAGTATCTGGATTTGAAGCTCTTATAGATTTGGCAGCCTTTGTAGTTGGCCGGGTGTCCCTCCTGGCATAGTGCACACACTGCAGGATCTTGTATTGGTTTGGTGCACTCCACAGATTTGTGCTGTTCACCGCATTTCACGCAACGCGGCAGATGATGACAATAAGTTTTCGTGTGGCCATACGCTTGGCAATTGTGGCACTGCACAATTTCCTTCTTGGGGTATGGCTTCTCTATCTTCATGATAGTGTAGTACAATCTTTTGATATCATATATTTTT